GCGCGCTCGCTCGCTCTCTCTCTCTCTCTCTCTCTCTCTCTCTCTATATATATATATATAAAAGCTCTTTCTTTTCTTTCAACTCTTTCTTTTCTTAGAAAGAAAGAGTTGTGTCTTTGCGAGACTTGTTCATTAGCCGTAGCATAGCACTTCACGTCTGATGTCTGACCCACTTCACAAAGTGCAGTAAACGGTAAAACAATTGTGGTACAAATTAGTTTGTTTATTAGTACATTAATAAATGTAAAAATAATTTGAATACAAATACTAGTTTACAACATCCAGCAGCACAGTGAACTGTTTTGCACACCTAAATAGTCTAAATGGAGATTGCTGACATCGCCTCACACACTCAAGTTCACGCCAGCTCTTACATCAAAAATAAGATGGAAAGATAAAAAATTCCATGGATCTAGTCTTTCCATCTGTTTGTTTGATGTTTGAATCAGGTCTCCTCTGTTGGAATAGAACTGGCTAGATGGCGCTATCACAAAAAAAAATAGGGTCCTAGTAGAAATGCGGTCCTGAAACTGCAGCCTCCAGTATCGCAGGAACACAGTATTGGGGTTGTTTTTGTTCAGACCAATGTGAAAATCGACCCATGTTTTTACCCTGTAAACACACAGAGCTGTAAATGTGAACTGGTGGATCGATAAGAAGAATAATGCTTTTTACAGTCATTTTACAGTTTAATACGTTACTATAGACATTGCCCTACCCCGTTCATATGGTATTCATTTTATTTGTGCAGGTCTTAAAAAGTCTTACATTTTGAGCTTAAAAATCAGAAACCCCAGCAGAAACTCTGGTCTCCATATAAGGGCTGTACACACACAACACATTACAATCTCTGCAAAAATATGTCTTTATACTGTAGGATATAAGTATGTCTGTCTGTCTGTCTATCTATATCTATCTGTCTGTCTGTCTGTCTATCTATCTATGCAGATGAGCACATTTATTTTCATTGGGCTATGATATTCATTGTTCTTGCTATTTGTTGTAGACGTGGCAAAATCAGCTGACCACCATTGAGCTGATGGATAGGAAAGAAAGGAGAAGGCAGCGTTTCAGTTTTGAGGTGGACTTTGATGACTTCAAGATGCCATTCAATAAAAACATCCAGAAGAAGTCCGTGGAGTTTGAGCTCACTGACTGAAAGGTGAAGACCGTTACTATTATGTTTTGTGAATCCTGCCCCAAAGTATAATACAGATTTGAGGTCAGCTAGCAACCACTCAGAACATCTTGGCTACCTGATAGCAACACCCTGGCAACCTTCCAAAATGCCTTAGAATCATAGCTTCAAAATTTTCCATGGGCATCAGCACTTTAGTTTAGGAAACATTCTAACATGCAGTGTGTTTTATGCTGTAGTTACTCAGGGATTAATACTGCATGTCTCACGGCTGTTTCTCAGAGAGGGAGGTATGTTAAGTAAGATTGATTATGCGTTTAGGAGAGGCAGAGATGAGAGCTGCTGCCTACGTGCTGGCATGCAGTTTGTCTCCTCCATGTCTCAGCGTCTGTCGGGCATGCTGGGTACAGGCCTTTCACCACAGGCAGCGCTGAGCAAAACCCCTCATGTTGTTTATCACAGAAAACCCAGCGATTCTATCCATATGCTTTAACAAGAATCGGAAACATTAACTGCTGATTAACAATGTCTGGTATAGTTATAGTAGAAATGTGTGATTGAAACTGACTTTTTATTTTCTATGCTTCACAGATTGAAGTGACGTGCACCAGTTATCGCTGGCCTCTGAGCAGAATCTAGATTCATTCTGCTACAAGGAAATGCACCACTCAGCTGTCCTGTTTATTGCACGGTTCTCTGTTTGGCCATCAGATGGCGCAACAGTGTTTACATGCGAACAGTGTCTGATCCTCAGGGACTCTTAAGCACAGTACTGCAAAATGGCAGCCCAAACAATTGTGATTGTTTAGAGTCGAATTTTTAACTCGCTTAAAATATCATGTGATTGAAGTTTCATTCAAAATGTACAGGTACAGACTGTATGTGTTATGAATCGTAGCTGCCATTGTAAGTCTTTTTCCATAAGCAGTCTCTCTGATTTATTCCCTGATGTATTCTGTTAGTTTAAAAATCAATAGAAATGTACCACTAATGAGTGAAAAGGATTCTCACAGTGGTCAAGAAATAAATATCCACATTAAACCAATGTAACAACAAGTTTACTGTAACTGTAGAGTCAGTAAGCTTTGTTTAAAATGTCAACAGTGGCGTCTGAAAAACAGAGATAAGGTTTTTTGTATTTATACAACGTGGATCTGATTAAATGCACCCATGTCTGATACCAGCGTTTACCACTGAATTAGATCTTTAGATTGCTATGCCTTCAATGTCTGTTGGGCATGGTTACATAACAAAATAAATGGTCAAAACCAACATCTATAAATCAAGGCTACTGAAACTACGGGGTTTACACATATCCATTTGGTATCCAATCAGATTATAGAGAATTTATGTTGATTATCAGAGACTGTAACTAGCAACTGTGAGATATATATGAATTTTTGTAAATGCATGTTTGTCTAAATCAAAATTTTTGACTGTTTGTTACAGAGGCTGAGAAAGAGACAACAGAAGAGCAAACATGAGAGTGGTAGAGAGAGAGAGAGATGGGGGGCGGCTTGGAGAGTTAGTGCTTCAGAGAGTGAGAAGGACAGGGCGAATGAAAGCGATAGTGTGAGTGTGAACCCGTCGGTCATCCCTGTAGATGTGGGTAACGACACAGAGCAGTGTGGGGTGAGTCAGGGATGGAAATGGAGGAGTGAATTTTTTATAAAATCAATGCTCTCAGCTTCAGTGTAAACAAGATCTTTCAAGAGTGATGAGCACGCACATGCAAATTGTGTTTTCATGTGCAGAAGTGTCTGCATTTATGCATGAATGTCGATTAAACTTCATTGATGATGTTTTTCATCATAATACTCGTGTACATTGTTGCATTTAATAGGATTTGTCATGACTACAATTAATATACACTGCCGGTCAAAAAAAAAAGTTACCAAAAAATGTATATACACTGCCGAAAAAAAAGTTATATATATATATATATATATTTGTTTGTTTTTATTATTAAAATTAAAAATAACAATTTTTCATTTTAAAATAATTTTCAGCAGCCATTTCTTCATTCTTCAGAAATTGTTCTAATATGCTGATTTGGAGCTCAAGAAACATTTTGTACTAGTTTTAAAAACAGAAATTAATACTTATTAACAAAGGCACATTATATTGATCAAGACATTTATAATGTTACATAAGATGTCTATTTCAAATGAATGCTTTTGGACGTTTTTATTTCATGAAAGAATCCTGGGGAAAAATAGCAAAATATTAAGCTGCAAAAAGCATTGATAATAATAACCATTATTAATAACTAAACACAAATAATAATTAAGCACCAAATCAGCATATTGGAATTCAATTCAAGTTTATTTGTATAGCACTTTTTACGATACAAATAGTTGCAAAGCAGCTTTACAGCAAATTAAGTTTCTACAATATTTAGTGGTAGCTTATCAGTGGTGACTGTCAGTTTATGTACATATGGCAGAAATGTACAGAAAAATCAATTAAAGATGTAATCAAACAGACGATGAACACTATTAACAGCAATTATTATATGATGCAATCAAACTTATAGCAAAATGTGGTAGTTCTGTATGTTGTTTCAGGGTTGGCATCATCTGAGGTTCTCTGAGGGTTGGCATCATCTCTTCTCAGGTGTTCTGGATCCACACTGAAGCTTGTGTAAATCCTAGTTACCACGGGATGTTGATAGAGAAACAAATAGAGAAATAATTAGCGTAGCTGCTGTTCCAATCAAGTAAAATTGATTTGTTTAACCCAAACTAAAGAACAATAATGTGCATTTGATCAGATATAACTGCAGTACAAGATTATGAGATGCATTATTTGAATGAGAGATGATTCTGAAAGATCATGTGAAACTGAAAATTCAGTTTTCAGGAATTAATAACATTTTAAAAACATATGCACACACACCATATATATATATATATATATATATATATATATATATATACAGGGGTGTAACAGTTCACAAAATTCACGGTTCGGTTCAGTACATTCGGTAAGGGGTAGCTGGTTACGTCGCAATGTTGGAAATATTTCTGTTTTAAACCATGAAGGCGAGCCAATGGATATCACACAACCAACATGCAAACTTTGCGCAAGAGTTATGCCGATGAACGTCTTCATCTCAGTCAATTCACTATACAGAACGTGAAAGTAAAAACGGAAAGAGGAAGTAATGACGGAGCTTTCGGCATCTGACGCCGCATATTCTCTCAGAGACGACGAGACGAATCTACTTCAACATATGCTGATAACGGTATATGTTACCCACGACCACAAAACCAGTCTTAAGTCGCTGGGGTATATTAGTAGCAATAGCCAAAAATACATTGCATGGGTCAAAATTATTGATTTTTCTTTTATGCCAAAAATCATTAGGATATTAAGTAAAGATCACGTTCCATGAAAAAAAATGTCAGATGATGTATAAATCTCAATGTCGAAAAATTGACCCTTATGGCTGGTTTTGTAATCCAGGGTCACTTATAGCTAACTAATAGCCTAACTAGCCTAATCTTTTGTTATCCTCGCAGCACGTCAGTTATTTGCTAATTATTGCGAGGCAAATTAATTGTAATTTAAATTTAATTGGCCTATTAAAATAACTTCATAATAATAATAAAAATAAGAACATAACAGGCCTACATTAATTGGACATGCCAAATATCTTAATATTGCCAACGATTGATGTTTTTGACAATATCTCTGGCTATCGTCGATACAAGATCATCGTCTTTCGACGCTCCCCAGCAAGGGGAGGTTATCGCGGGGCAGACGGCACGTTGTCTGTTACGTCGTTTGGGCTGACTTGTTGAGTGCAGCGGCACTGAGAACATCATATTTCACACACTGTAGGCTGTTTTATTTTCTAAATGTAATAGGATTTGTCTAACGAATCGAATCGTTTGGTTTGTAATGTTCACTGAACCGAAAGCCTCGTACTGAACGGTTCAATACGAATACGTGTATCGATTCACCCCTTATATATATATGTTATTTTTGTAAATTTGGTCATGTAGTGCTGTGCTAAGACTTTGTTTTGCTCCATCTGAAATTATATGCCTGCCCCGTCCACTTTGTTTTCTGGGTTGAAAGTCTTTCCTTGCAGCACTGCAGTGTTACTCTTACACACCCGACACTGAGCTTACTCGGCATTCTTCTTCCTCCTGGGACCAAGGGGAGACAGAGTGCTCTGGCCAGGCTTGGCCTGCGCTGTGTTTGTGTTTTATTCAGTGCCTGTCACAGCTCTGTCCCACTGCCAGAGGCCACTGATCTGAACACAGCCGCTGGCTGGGTCTGTCCAGACACAGAGTTAAGATGCTCCTGCAGACCACTAATTCTCAGTTCAGGGACTAAGAATCTGCATGCGCTTTACTAGGCACAGAAAAGTGATATAAACATAGGTATTAGTGCTGTTACAATATCACAGGGACTGTCAATTACAGTTTTATTAGGTCTGCCGAATACGCTGTGACTGTTTTATCGTAATAAGTCCCCGAATGCTTTTATACAGCAACTTTCTTACACAACTTTCATACATTGGTGAAGGGTACAGTCTGTCATTCGCAATAAAACAGGTGATTATTGGTTTATTAGGGTAATTCTTGTAAGGTGAAGGAACATGGAGATGTTTACAACCTGTGAAGCAGCACTTAAAATATTGCTAACATGGAAAAAAAAACATAATTAAAGCTGTAAAGTTTACTGGACACACAGGCTGCATTTATTTGATCAAAAATACAGTAAAAACAGTAATATTGTGAAATATTATTACTATTTAAATGAACATTTTTATTTTTTTTAATATATTTTAGTAATTTTCAGCGTTATTATATATATACAAAGTTCTGGTATGAAACTCTAGATGGCGCAGTCCGATAGATCTAACTCCATATGACATAATGACATCATTATCACATGGCACAGCTGATTGGTTCTCTCCTGTATCGGTAGCCAATGAGCTCGCTGCTCAACATTTAAGTACCTGGCAGTGTTTGCTGTAGCAGTAGCAGCGCACTTCGGAAACCCTCCACCTTCCCCAGCTCCACCTGTATCTGTATAGATCTGCTACGGGGTGATCATGTATGCTATGGGGGTTATTCATATATGTTATATGTGCAGTAGCAATATTCCTTACATGCTCACAGCAGCATGTTGTGGGTGTATTGGCAGTAGCAAGTCTCGGTACTTATATATAATAGCATAGCAAATCTATTCCGCCAAGACCAAATACATTAACATTGTCAGGTACATTACCATTCAAATCACTCCAAGAGGTGTCATGACAGATATATATATAAAGTGGCACCTATAATCTTCCTGCGACATCAACTGAATTTCAACTATGACTCAACCCAGATCAAATATTAGACACAGTGGTGTCTCTAAAAGTAATCATCTTTCAAGTACCAAGTTTTTTCACAGAAAAAAACGTATTTTTCTCAGAGATTTTCCTACCAGCAGCCTTAAAGGTCCCCTGCAATGCTTAGAAACACGCAGTGTTATTCTTTGTGTTGACGTCATTTTAACTGAAACAGGAAGACAGGGCGGGACATATAAAGCAGCCCCACCCCTTTTTAAAATAGCCAATAGCGTTCGTTTATATCACAGCTTGGGCTAGCCGTTGAGCTCCGTAAAGCCGCATTTGACAGGGTATGCCAGCCACAATCTCATCCATATTGCTATAAAATATAGCATTCTGTGTATTCAAATAGCTCTGATACATTTTGTGGTCTGCTGACTCGCGCATGTGATCCGCTCCATGTTATCGTGTCTCTGGACCGGAGCAGAGTGT